ATAGCTCTTTACATTTCTAACCCTAGTTTAATTAACCACAGCTCTTTCCCAGTGAAACAGTTTGCGAAAAAGACAATTAGATAACCCTCCTTGGAAAACCCTCAAGATGATGACATCAGATCACAAATCAGATAATTAGATAATCCGCTCAAGTGGTCTTCAACACACCGTAAGCCACCCGTTATGAAAGTGACAATTGGATAATGTGCCTTGAGTGGTCGTTAACATGCCAAGAAGTACACGTTATCTTGATACGGATTGTGCCACGTAAACGCCTCCAATACCTGTGAAAACTGACAATTGTTGCTCTTAGAGCCGATGCACGTGGAAGCTAGTTCATCGTTTAATAGCAGTTTTTTGGGGGACAGTCAGCAACCCTGACTTGATCCCTGTTTTGGAGCGCGATCGTTTACAGAATGTCTCGGTGGCTACTGATAAGACTCACATTTGGGCTATTTTAAGTCGGATTTGCATTTCGGCTAGGTCTTCCAGAATTTCATAGCAACATCCCATAAGACAATCTCTGAGTTCTCAAGCCTTTATATTAGGCCCGCAATTTAGTCAACTCTACTGTCGCCCTTGTCCCTAGTTTGTCTAATAGCAATTATTTATGTAACCTTGTTACTAGTTCTACGATGATCTCTGCTGATGTGGTAAATAAATTAGATGAAATTAAATGTGTGTTTATTTCTAACTGAAAGTGGAGAATTCTCCTTGATTTTGTAATTTTTAACCAGTAAATTAAGGTCGTTTCTGATGCAGTTGTGGCCATGAAGTACTGATTTGAACTGTTATCGATTCATATACGTCTTTGCATATCCTCTAGCAAGGTTTTTCTTTTGCTAATGTCAACATTCATAAAACCAGGTAGTGGCATTTAGTACATTTATGATACATAACGACATGATTAGAACACCAATTATTCATACTATCACACCGAAAAATGCAATCACTTACCGCCAATGTTCGTCTACAGTGGAAATCGCCAACATCGGAACCAGATGCCATTTAAGATAAAATGCAGTGTGCACCGTGAACTGTGCATTCAGCAGAGTCCTGAGAGCGGGCCAGTAAGCTTGCTCTTGTCGCAGACCGTTTCGTGGTATCAATAATAAGCACATGACAGGATTGTGACAGGCCTGGTCATGTTTTTGCCTGCGTGTTGATGATACAGCTTCAGTGTAGCCAATTTTGTTATTTGAAACAAATAAGGCTGCATTGGAGTAGATTTTTAGATTTCTTTTTAACCATTATTTGCAACTTTAATTCACAAAATAGCTATAAACTATATCGTTCCGCCATGTTGGAAATTTATTGCTGATCGGCACAGCCAGCGCGCTACGAGTTGAGGTCTGCTACACTGACATTTAGAAAACACTGGACCTTCAAGTACTGGGTCTGAAACTGCCTAACCTGAAAATATTCCCATTCTTTAATTACAAACGCACGTATTTACTGAATGTACCGGTGCTTGCCCCTCTTATGCTTGTATCCACAGACCAGAGGTAATGAGCAAGGTCCTTTTTACCTCGATGACTTGCCACTAAGTTACCACAGAGGATTATTAAATGACACTTTTAGGTGGTCCCATGTTCACTAGCAGTTTTTCCTGTTCTCTGGCATTTATATTGTACCAGCTGTACTCTTACCCACACCTCGGCCAGAATGACGTCCTTGTACAATTTCGTTTTGTCTTTGAAAGCTTCACGTTTTATGGTATATTCATCAGAATGAACTATTTTTTAGAACAATTCTTGTCGGAACACATATATAAACCCCATCATGATTCACTTTGTTCTCGAGACATTTTGAATTTTTCCCTCATGTTGTGAATGCACCAACCCACAAGGTAATCGTATTTTTGCCCTAACCGAAATTGACACTTGCTTGTACCTGCAATGCTAGAGGTAGAGTCGAATTCCGGTAGTATAATGCTTAGAATAAATAAATTACCAACAGCTAAATATGGGTAATATTCTACTCGCTGTCATCCATTATGAATTCACTTATTTGTCAGGTGTTATTAGATTCACCACCTACTTTTTTTGGTATTTTGCTAGTACATAGCTGAAAATGCAGACTAATACAAGAAATTGCCCTCGGATTCATATGAAAGTTAACGATGACTACAGGAATGAGGTGGTAATATTAATCAACGTCCATTTTTGCCACACGTCATGATTATTTAATAAACATTTCATTTCTTACTGTACAAATTATTCCGATCACAAACTTGCTTGGAAGAAGACAAGTTTGGAAACCATGAAAACTAGTGACTGCATGGATCGGTTTTTGTAATTTACCAATTTAACTCTGAAACACCTTGACTTGGTTTAAGACGGAGTTTACCATATCTGTTGACTGTCTTATGCAATCAACTCATCCTTACTTGAGTGAAGAATTTTTGTATTTGAAAACTTTGATTTTGAGGGGAATTTGACCCACGTCTTGTCTAACTTAATCAACTCGTAAGAGTTCCAAAAAACGCATCTTTTAAAGTCCTTATGATTCGAATTGATACATTTCATTAACTTCCATTTATTCAGATGTCTGTTCCGATTTAAATGGGACACCAGTGCAATAATTAAATAGCGGATCCGGTTCGGTAAAATAAAGACCTGCATGACACTACCGTCTGGTGGTTTATTTTTACTAATTTCACTCTTACAATCGAAGCCAGCCACTTATGTCGAACTATGCATTTAGAATTTGCAAAAATAACCGAAAACCTAAGTAAATGCCTACTTGTGTCTGACCTTAGGCTTAAGGATGGTTGGAGGTAGCTTAGAAAGCTTATTCTCTCACGGCTTCACATAGCGCGATTTCCAAGGTGCTTCAGTGATGACGACAATCTCTACACACCGCGGAAGGGCACTCCATACTCACTGTGCACTGCCACCTACTTGGATGTACACCAGAGTAGCAAAACTATTGTTGCTCACTAGACCCTAGCTACGGTTCAGGAAATAGTCTTCAACACGCAAACCACCAAAAACACAAATATACTTTAATGTGTTCTTTTGACGCATTAAAATAAAGAAAATAAGTATATGACTTTGGTCCGCTAAATTAAAGTTCGTTTCCATATCCAGCTCATCTTTAAACATTATGCAATAAAGCATGAGCTCGTGGATATTCACTGCGCAACGGAGCATTTTCATCAGCCTATTCGTCCATCTTTGTCGGAATTACGAAGTAGAGTGCAACTCTTTACCTCGCCATTGCAGCAAAAGCGAATGCAGTGTATCGTAAAATAAATGCACTGAAAACATGGTTTTTTCCAACATGATAAACACAAAGCCTCCGGGAAAGAAAAGGCCAAGTCGGCAAGACTTCGTCGATTATTCAACCCCACGACCCCATTATTTTAGTTAGAAATATGTCAGTAAATGTATGAATGCAATGTTAGCCTTGTAGTTAAACTAACAAGGGTCAAGGTGTGTGAAATTTGGCCAAATCTTGAACCTACGCAAACTGACCTCCAACAGCTCCTAGCGATGCACCTGTAGGGTGATCTGTGGATCTTAGAACAATTTGTAATTACTGTGCTAGTCATACTGTTTGCCCGTTCGTAGAGGTGAAATCTTGTTCAGTTTTGCGTTATTCAACTAGCATGATAACTCCATTGTATAATAGAGCAGCATAATGCCTGCCGTACACCGGTTCCCCAGGTAGCCCCTCCATGTAAACAGCACGCCGTGATTAACGACAGTCAAAAGAGGGTATTGCATTAAGGACGAGCATCAATCCTCACCAAGCTTGATTTGCCCTACTAGGTTCCAGTGGTGCAAAATTTCTGAGCAACATGATTACAAAGGAGCCTAATTTTAAAACGTAATCCTTCAGCTTGTATGAGGTCTACATATAGGATTATTTTGAACTCACCATTCCCTATCACATAAATGCATCATGGAATGCTTCGCAGAACACTGCAAATGCTCTCTTCAATTTCGTACCCACTTACGATTTTTCGCTACTACGAAAGAAAACCATTTTAAAGCAGTTGATAGACACTAAGGATAAAAGGTGCTTTACGAGAACTTTGTTTGAAGATGCTTTTAAAGCAAAGCAGTGTGTTTGGGGTCACCGATATCCAAACTTTGCCTTTTTCTTTCGTAAAGTGCAAATTATGAAGTATCACCACCGAATCGCACAATCAACCCAGAAAAGCACGTCTTAGTAAAGTTTTATTGCAACTGACAGAGTAAAGAGGCTGGAAACGCGATCATACACTAAACAATAACCCTAATCTTAAATACAGTTCCCAGAAGAAACCTAAAAATTGAGGCTGCGGTGTACTGACTAATCCCAATCATCATCTACTGCGCGCCACCAAGTTCTCCTTTTCTCAGCACTTACAGCACATTTCTACCCACTGGAGGCCATCAAGTACTACCTTAAGGGCCTGCAATTTAACGTGGCCAAGGACTTTGCTTGCCACTTAGACCAACAGCTCAGTATATTTTGTGACGGTCACCGCGTGCAATATATCATTTTAAAGCTTAGGATAACTATCTCTCCTAGAGACAGAACTAAGCCTTCAATAGCTGTACCTGGCCGTCGATGTAATCAGTGTAATGTATCCTTGGGCCAGCGAACATATTGTTCAGGGCCCCAGACGATGTAAGTAATTGTGAATCAAGATTTTAACGAATCAATCATATCTTATTATCGCGTCATCACCTAAAGATGAGCTCTAAATCGTAGACGAAAAACAGATTCAGAAGAATGGTGTTATGGGACGTAAAACTACTAGTGATTCCAGCCCCTATAAACTAAAATTTGCTCACCAAAGAATTTGACTACATGCTGAATGAGTTAACAACTCAGAGAACATTTAAGGAATTTCAAATCACAAAAATCCCACAACAAAAAAGTCAAATCAAAGTAGACCAAAAATATATTTAGGAAAAAAGTATTTTACTTTGTAGCGGCAAACAGTTCTTCGACCTTCTTTACATAACATGCTTCGGCATCAGGTTTGGACATGCCTGAACAAATCACATTACAAAAGAATAAACCCAACCTTTCCGAGAACTCCACGCATCCCACTTAGCCTTACCAGCAATATGAATCGCGCTAGGTTTCTCTAAAATGGTTGATAGAAAGCACAGACGTCAACTTACCGGTGTTAACATCGCCAACGGTAGCTTGCTTGTATAGGCCGTAAAGCACTAGTTTGTCATCATCCGAACAATGAGGAAGGGTCTTAACTTTTTCGGCTGCTGTTTTGAAATCCATCACAACGTCCAAAAGCACGAGCAAAGACCGAGAAGGCGCACGACTTTATACGTTTTGTGAACTCAGCTCAAGGTCACCAACGTCAAGTGGTGTACGCATTAAACACCCATTTTAAAAAATGAAAAAAGCTGCCTGGTAGTCCATTAGTTATAAACTACATGTAGCAAAAATATAAGTTACAAGTGATTCACAAAATTTACAGAAAAAGGAAAAAAAACTAAGAATGCAAAAAATATTTTATTCTCTAATGTAACAAAAAGATTGTGCAATTTTGACAGCATAAGTCATAAAAAATATCACACCAAGGACTTCTTATGCTAATGTAGCGATTACATATTAGTGGTACATAGATCGGAAATCTATTGATTCGGAATTTGTAAATTAAATATAAGAGATAGGGCAATAATGGGTAAAAATATACAATAGTATTAATAATTACGAAAAGTTCAAAAGGTAGGTTACTTGTACGTAGACTGCAAACTTAATATACAGAGTGATTACAACAGAGGCCACTTAATTAAATAAATTTATTAAACAGCTCTTCTCTAGAGAATTCAGGATAGCAAAATAATTGTTATCAGCTGTCAGAGACAATCCGCTGAGCGCAATAACAAAGACATAAACAAGGAACAAAAGGAATTAGACAGAATAGCAACAAAAAATTGACACATTTGGTTAACTCTCAAATAACGTTACTTTTTAGATATTTTTTAATTTATCGAGGTTTTTAAATGAAAAAGGTTAATAATGTTCTTTGCTTTATTTTTTTGCCAAATGTTCTAGACACATATGCTTCTGGTAAAATGTAAAAAAATAAGATAATACGGTAGTATCGACACAGCGACCGACTTCGTGCATCATATTGCACAAACCCAAAATAACATATGGAAAATGAATAAAGCTTTTTAAAAAGTAACTGATGATGTGGCAATTTTTGCTTAATGTAGTCTAAAAAATTTAATGCATAATAATTAAAAATTACAGGAATTTCAACTGAAGCCATACACGAACGGCCAAATTATAAACAATGGTATTTTTTAAAATATAAAAAGACTTGAGTTTGAAGGATATGATAAATAAACGCCTAAATAAATATCAAAACATTCATGGACAAAAAACGTACGTTTCCTAATCATATTCACCCAGATAAACTTAGAGAAGTAAATTGTTTGCTTTTAAAAGAATATATAAAATGCATTCTAGTAAGCAGACTGATAAAAAGATCTAAAAGAATCGTAATAATTATTGTTAATTGTACTATGCTCCCTGTTAACCTTTGAGAATACAAAACACACAGGCTCACAGTTAACTAGTGTTGAAGCTGAAGCTTTAGAAAAAAATCGATTTAAAGAATTTGATTTTGGTGTATCATCGAAATTTCTTGAATGTCAAAGCCTTGTTTAACATAATATATTGCTCTATATTGTTGCAAACGTGGTGGTTAACTAATGCAGAGTTGAAAAAAAGACAGATATGAACTCTTGCGGCTTTGTTTAAATCCTCGAGTGGGTAAATTAGACAAAGAATAATACCAAAACCATATAGTTCTATTTTTGTCAAAAAAAAGGCAAGCAATTTGGACCTTAAACTCAGCAGATCCCATTCCACAGACCCGAGCCTGTCTGGTCTATTCTTTGTACTCCTTTACCACCTAAGGGCAACCCTGACACTCCACATGGCCTTTTACAAGCATTCTATCACGTGCCTAGTTGTCTACCCTGGTAGTGTAAAATTCTTATAAGAATTGGGTGACAAAAAAGCACACATTTAGATCTCCGCCTAGAAGACAATTTACAAAGACTATTCAGACTTAGGAATCATTCGAGAACATTTTAAAATTCAGTAAAAATATTGTCAAAACTCTCCACAGTAATTGACAATTTTACCAAAATTTGGCGTTTATACATGTTCTTCGTTCGAAGTGACATGATAGATAGTCATCATCTTGGCAAGCAGCAGGCCGTTATGGCAGCGTCAAGTAATTGGTGGCATAACCTCGAGTCTGATCGTGTTGAGGAGTTAAATAGTGTGCCAGGGCATAGGAGCAAATTTACCCTGCCTGTCTCTGTTTTTTGATCAGTTACCGTTCCAAAACAGCCTACAGGAATCTAAATGCAGACAGATATTCATTCTATAAACCTGAACCAAATTTTGCCTAGCATATTCAAACAGTAAATGCCATTGTTCGTGTCATTCAACTCTTGTTCTTTCAATGTGTCTACAAGGTATAAGACTAACTGTAGGAGTGAAAAAAATCATTTTTACATAAATAAGCAGTAGAAACTGAAATCAAACATGCGTTCATTGAGGAGACAGAAGAGCAGATATGGAGGATTATAAAGTGCACCATTTTTTTCTGGGTTATCTGTGAAGGTATGCCATTGTCACAAATTATCTGGACTTAATCAAATAAAATGCTAAATGTTCGAAATCGCATTAATGAAGCATTAGTTCCTGTAAAGCTGTAAGTTTTTCAATTTTTAATGTACGCACAGTTAGGAAACAATTTGAAAAAAAGATGTTGCCTTCAGTAGCGGTTTCTTACCTATCTGATGACCTTAATAGAGCTAAGTTTTTCTATGCATTTAATCAATACTCTCGTTTCATCGACGTTAACGTTATCATCAAGTCTTTAAAGAGTCTTGTGTAACGTAATGGATGCTTTCAGGCACAATTATGAACACGATTTCATCACCTCATTTGGTCGTTCTGACTTTGTCTACATAATTATTTTTATAAAATCTTTAACAGTTTTTGAATTTCTTAACATTATCAGAAAAAGACGGGTGCAATAGCTTATTTTGTTGATATAATATAAGACAGAATTAAAGACAAAGCCTAGTCAACAAATTTCAAATAAAGTGGATACGCCACTTGTAATGTAGCGCCATCACTCAATCCAAGTACCGATCGGTGATTGACATTTCTTGAGAGAACTCAATTCCCCAGAGAAAGGCTAGGCTGGTTGTTAACCAATACCTTTAACGCCTAGGGTGACACTGCGGTAAAATACCCGAGCCAAAATAGGAAAAAGACCGATACAGCAGAACCGGCATTATTGACCAATTAGAAGCCAGAGCCACGCGTCAAGCGCCTTCCATCCGAGTCCACCGCGCTGGCCACGCCGCTCATTATATACTGCATCTCATCCATGTCCTCCTCTGGTTGGCTGCTTACCTTCCTCGCATGCCAGTGGAACGCAGAGCGACACAGGATTGGCTGCGGCCAGGTGATCTAATAGGCCTGCGCCCTGATCC